CCAACTGCTCGCGCTTTGTTATCACTGCCTGATCTCAGACCAGGATTTCAAGAAATGCTGCGATGAGACGCTTATTTTTAAAGTAGAGTGTGCCTGTTTACATGGAATGGTTGTGCTCGAATATTTACGCCAAACATGATGGAGGCAACTGTAATCGATTGATTGATTACTCAAGTTTCACGTTTCAAAATGTTTTTTTTTTTTTTCGGCTGTGGGTCTTCCACAAAAATTAAAACTGCCGATATTGAACGAATAATGTGTGCTACAGTTGTAACCTTCCAAAGAAACATACAGTAGGGGGAACTAAAATCAGTTTCGGGCGATATGCACGTGCCGGTGATCGAAAAAAATTTGCATAACATTACAATGTACCGAAAGCAGCGTCTATATTTATTTAATCGCAAATGTTTGCCAAAGTTAACCATGTGGTCAGTCTAAAAGGAAGAAAAACGGATTGCAAACATCTTTATTGACGAAAAAGGTTTCCATTCGCTTATTTTTGTTCTTGATGAAGGTGGCTTTCCAAGTTCCATGTTGGTTTGACGAATGACGAATTTCTCAAAATGTACCACACGTTTCAGTTGCTCTCGACAGGGTACTTTTTTCGGGCCGCGGAAGAAAGAGTCAATTCCTGTAAATAACGAAAATGAGATGACAGTCGCGAAATTTCAGATTTCTCCATATTTTGCCCAAATATCCTCTATAGTGAGGCAAGCGCTTTAGTTTTCTCGAAATCGAGGAAAGTCCGAAAATCGCCATTTTAGCTGCCTGCCGCCGCCGAAAATACCCGAAAATTGTGCATTTTCTTTTCGCTCGTACAGGTCAACGCGATGATATCTATCAATATACTTTGGGTAGCTCATAGTGCATGTCTTGCTGTTTCTAAAGCATTAATTTGATTAGCAAAAGCTTCAAGTTTTATAATGTTTTAGGCCGATACAAGTACCTTCATCGAAGCTCGTGAGCGAAAGGGCTGATTTTTGCTAATTTCAATACCATCAAAAGCCCACTGGTACATTGAATTTGAAGTCGAAACTAAAACTCTCTGAAAGCCCATACTCCATATTATGTTGTGTGAAAGTCAATAAGTTCCCATAAGAGTTGATGGATCTCAACTTCTTGATACTTTGCTAAAATTCTCGGTAAACATCCTGTGATAAGCTGAACATAGTTTTCGTCTTCTAATAATTGGTTATTGAATTTCCACGTGCCTGGGCCGCGATGAAACGCGTCGTTGATTTCTACGCTCAAGTAAATGGCCTTGTGGCCTGGAGCAATTGAGGAGCGGACTGGATTTCAGCTGTTCTTATGTTCAGATTGACTTTAAAGACTGCGCAATGAGAAAAAAAGTCAATTCTAGATTTAAGCTTCAGAGATTTTGATTCATAAGTAAATGCCTTCTT